TAAGGTCCAGTTTACAGCTGACGACGCCGGCGGTCACTATTAATTCTGCTTATTTGGCCAGTTCATAGTACGCAGAGATGGCTGGCTTCTCTCCATTCAATATCCCCGAACCGAACAGCGATTTCAGTCCAAGGTGCATTGACCCGATGCGATTTTATTCCACTGCTTCCACTTGCACGCCATCACCATCTTCGCTGGCTTGTGCGCTGTGGCCCGACTGAATCCTCGCCGGCTAGGTACCGGGTCAATTGGCCTCTCACCTACCTGACGTCACTTTCCCGTCTCGCCTGTCGCGATGCCGTCGCCAATGGCGAAAGCCACCCGTAAGTCAAACTCGCGCTCATTCTCTTCTTGTTCTGGCTATTTGGCGAGTGTTAAGGCTTCTTCTCGGGCCAAATCCGCTTCCTGCCAGCTTTCCATGCCTTGAAACCACTCATAGATGGCGCTCGAAATGGCGATAGCTGACTCCCCGCGCTGCAGTGGCGTCCGCCGCCCTATCGAGCGTGTCGAATATCCTCGCCCAGATCCTCGAAGCCTACCGCGACGATCGGCCCTTCGCCTTCGACGTCGCCATGTTTCTGCGCTTCGTGACCGTGACCTTCTTGACCGCGCCGCCCAACTACATGTTGCAGCAGCTGCTCGAGCGCACGTTTCCCGCATACGAGCGCAGGCGGCCCACTGCCGGCGGCGAGAGTCCGCGCGACCTCGAGAAGCAGATGACCGAGGCGCCGCCAGAGGCGGGCTCCGGGCCCGAGCCGAAGCCTAAGCTCAACTTCAAGAACACCTTCGCCAAGTGGTTCATCGACTGCATCACGCTCGGCGCCATCTTCAACACCGTCGCCTTCTTCCTCCTCATGGGCATGCTGAAGAGGCAGCCTGTCGCCGTCATCGGCCACAATATCCGCACCGAGACCATCCCTATCATCGTCGCCGGGTATAAAATCTGGCCCTTTGCCTCCATCGTCAGCTTTACCTGGATACCCGTCGAGCGCAGGATCGTGTTCCTCAACTTCGTTGGGCTGCTCTGGGGCATCTATATGAGCTTGGTTGCGTCAGCGATTTGATGGGGATATGCCGCTCCATATACGTCATTATTGCTTTGCATCGTATAGGCCATCTTGCTTTAGAGCAGTGAGCTTAGCTGGCCGCGAGGCAAACCGCATGCGTATAATTATATAGTCACTCTAAATTCCCCTGATGGGAAATCAGAAGGTTGATTATATTCTAGTGTGTTGTTAACATATTCTTAAATACCCTTTCGCCTCTTTCGTTCGTGGATCATCTGCATTCATGAGGCATGCCGTGACTCAGCTCATGGTGTGAATGGTGAGTTGTATCCAACTTAAATGGTCAACGAGCTTTAAGTTCGCTTCCTCGTGAGCTTATAATGCACTAGAATGAAGGGATGGTTTCTAAGGCTGCCTTGGGCTTCTGTAGTGCGAACACCCTACTGCCTATAGCTTGACAGTTAGATCTAGGTAGCAGATGCCCATCTACAGGCGAATTCCCTTGGTAGATAATGCTAACTAATAGTACGCCTTTAGTAAGATCTTCGTGGCGCATGTGCGTTGGAGATACAGATAGACTCCTCCAATTCGGCTCAAAGATTTCACCGATTTGGTACTTGACAGGCTAATCGTCCCTCCCTCAACACAAGGCAATGACCAAGATCTAAGTACAACCAGTATAGCGATTGGCCGTCGATATGCGTTGCACCTAAGAACCCAAATAAAAGCAGCAAATCGACGGGCATATATGCGATGTCGGGAATAGGCCGAGACTGGGATTACTCGCCGCGACAGGGAACATTGGACAAAACAGGTTGTGGAATTGGGGTAATATAAAATGTACTTCTATAGCGCAGCGTGAATCTGGATGAAAGGCATATGTTTGCGCCATCCTCAGGGGGGATCATCGTGCCGTTGGTAGAGACCCTACGCAGTCTCTTGTCACGTTTCGGCTCAATCTTCTCGGGCGAGTACGAGACGTTTGGCATAATCTCATTTCCTGTGACACTCCAAGTTCTAGTCACCTTAGGCACCAGCTGCATTAGCTGTTCAGCACATTTACTTGCTTTACTTCCACTCCTTGTCCAGGTACCTAGCTCTCGACTAGCTGCTGTGAGTGACCTTTTCTACGCAAAGACATGGTCAGATTTAATTTGAAACTGACGAACCTCTGCTACTACGATCTTCTCTCAGTTATTGACAGACTCTCCCAGGGATTAGCCTCTCAAGCAGTGGACCGAGCAGGCGATCGAGGTCGGGATGCATACGGCGGTGGGTAGCTCTTTGAGCGAATCGATTAGCTGCTGAAGTGGACAGTGTGAGTAAGCTCAGATAGGGGTACTCACCTTGCCCTCTACAAGGAGATAGGCCAAACCTACACTTCCAAGCACAGTAACGAGACTTTTTCAATTGGGAAGCTTGATGTCAATGCAACAACTAACGAAAAGAGAGCGTTTTTCGTGCTTAGTCTGTGCCATGAGACCCAACCAGGCTAATGGTGTTCGCTATACAACCACCCCTTAGCCGCACACACTCTTCTCACCACTCCATGCCGGGACTCGGGTTTCAACTTCATCTAGGAGATGGCTTGAGCACCTGGAGACGCCTGGAGACGCCGGCCTCCATCCAGCCACTAAGACCACGGGAGAACTTTACTTCGTCTTGATTAACTTCTTAATAAAGTAAAGTTAAATTATATTCATGCAAGTATTCTAGCTAATCTACTTATTTACTTACTTAGACCTAAAAAGGTGAGAGGGGCGGGAGTGAATGCATTTGTTCGGAGGGTTTGACGGTTCCGCTTCCCCTAATAAGGTGCTCTAGTGGAGTTGAGGCGCCGATGGGAGCTCCGGCTGCTACGGCCCCGGCCAGGTATAACCAGGAGGATAGCCGCTGCCACAATCTTTGTGCCAAACGCCCAATTTTACTTTTTTGTCTAACCACCTGGGTAGTTAGCTATTTGTATTCCGAAAAAAAAATCTTTTAGAAGTGTTTAATAGTATCTACATCTTTAATAGGTGCGGCTTGGGTGGGATGTAGTTGTGCGATGTGCTATCCCGGCCGTAATTATCAACATAACATATGTAAGTATACAATAGCAGCAGCGCCTGAATAATAGAGAGCCCTTTAAGTGGAAGAGCTGCACATGACTGGGGTCAGTAGAGACTATGGTTGCTATAACACATCGACAGTGCTACTGGAAGTATAGGAAGGCGAACTGGAATGCTTCTTGCCATTGACATATCAAATATTTAGCTATATGTTGCATATCATAGGTGAGATAATAATACCTAATGAATGACGTAACGAAGCCCCCTGTCTCTGTTTGCAGAATAATTCTTCCTTCAGGGCTACAAGTCGCAAAATAGTTACCATCTCTCAAGTTTCATTTCTTCATCGGCTCTTTGGAAGTGCTACTCTCTAGGATTTGTTTATGCACCGACTTCTCTTTGGGCCCGATCTTTTCCGCGACGGCAACATTTCCTCTCAGTGTTCTGGCATTTACATGGAGCTCCCACAATCTTAACGCTGTGACGAGCACCATGAGGGTCCAGCGTTCTCCCAACTTGCCAGCAAGGCCACTCCCCACGAGCTTGAGATCGAAAGGGTGTTTCGGGCTTGCCAAAAAACGCTTCCATTCGAGTATAGCGACGACCTCGTCCTCAGGTGGGGCTGCCGAAGATGTAGAAACGCCCTGACTACTGCTTTCACCTCTTGTTGCGTTCAGCTCGAGTTGTGGTGACAAGAAGAAAAGCCTGAATCCACCATGCTCCGCGCTATCGTCCCTTTCGCTCTTATTTATCTTCCTCCATTCAAATGTTTGGCGGTGCATTTCCAAGCCGGATCCAATTCCTAGCGAAAACCGAAAAGCAACATGCTTGTCCGAGGTAATATATGCACGCATCATTTCCCATGTTGATCCTCCCTTTTCGCTGTCTGGCAAAAATATGCGGCTATTGTTGTTCACCGGAATGGCGTGAAGAAATCCCGAATCGTTGCCTGCCGCAGCGAGGAGCGGGTCGTTTGTTGTAGGCCCGTTGTATAGATACACGCCTTGCGCGGAGCGGAGGGGGCCCCCCATGCTCAATCCTGTGTGTACTTTCACGGCAAAGAGACGGTCTTGCTGATTCGCACCGCAGACGTGAAATGTGTTGAGCCCCGCAAGATTCCACTGGTAGTACACTTTCATGACCGGCGGAAATGGGCAGTACACGAGCGGCGTCGGCATCTTAGACACAGACGAGCCCTCACCTGATTCCACAACTATGCGTTTGAAGGTCATGTTCAGGGCTTTATGTACAGCTGCGATAATTGCAGCCGTAGACAGGTGAAGATATGGGTGCAGAGGAAACAAACTAGAAGTGACAAACGACGGAACAAGGCTGATTGATGGCGCTCGTGGTGGCGATGGCAATTCAAGTGTCAAGATCAACGTGCTGGCGATGTCATAGGGGATGATTGTCGGCTTCACGTCAGTTCACTGTAGTGAATCCGTCTCGCCTTGATTGTTATCGTGGTAGACACTCCATGATTTTGGATTCTGTAATATAAAACCCGGGAAAACCCCTCGATTTCCCTTCCAATCAAGACAAGAGCTGCTGGCCCTTGCGTTTCAAAACACGCAATTCGTGTAACAGTAACACCTTGCACCTTGGATAATAGAAGGACCATTACACTGTTGGCTATACACGTCAACGCTTGCCGTTCTGTAGAAGTAGCACGACTGAAGGGTGTTGGTGGCTTGACATCTCATAGCGGCACAACAATAACCGAACACATGTTGGTGGCTTTTGCATCGAATTCTTTGCCGATCACCAACGCAACTGATTCTATTCCTGGATTGGAGCTTGAAAAATTTATAACTTGTTAGAAAAGGCTCTGTCGGCTGTTAGTCTATTGAGACGAGCAATTGGCACCGGAGAATTGCCAGCGTCAGTCAGCTACATAATAATCGGGACGCGAACGATTAGTCAATAAGTCAATCACTAATTATCCTCGGTGGCGCAATTGGCTAGCGCGTCGTAAGTTATACCTTAAATAAACGTAGGTGATATACCTAGTGTTCTAACAATATTCTAGTGACTGTTAATCAGGAGGTTGAAAGTTCGAGCCTTTCCCGGGGAGATATTTTTTTTTCATGGTTCCTTTTTGGGTGGGGTTTCCCGGTATTCTTTGTAGCCACGTGACTCGATAGGGAGGTAACTTCCACAGTTTCCGTTTCCTACGGATCTGTTCATTAATTATCTATACCAACGTGTATTACAAATTGGGAAGGAGACAGAAGAAACAGCAAAAAGCTATCTGTATCCAAGCCATTGTTTTCAGGGAATTATGATACACGAAAGTGGCCTTCCCTCCAAGAATGTCGATTCTGCAAATGTTTTAGCTGGGCAAATGAGTAAATTATAGAGAGAAAAGTGTAGTTGGGATATTTCATTTCCATTCCCCATCACAATTAAGTTCACGGCTCTGTGGCAAATGGTAGATAACAGGAACATCCAAAGTGCCCGCAGCGTCTTGTACCGAAAGCCCGTATGAAACCTTGTGGTATGTTATTTCTGCTGTGGTAACAACAGCTTTGTATTCCTGAGGATCAGAACGGGTCCATAAAACCCACCAGAAACGTCGTAATGTATACGCCTACCCCACGCTTCCAAGTAGTGGATGGAGGCCATTCTTCAAGTGAATCCCAAAGAATAGACACGAAGGTGACGGCGAAGGTGTCGTGAAGGTGATAGGGATTGCATAGGTATCCTAAACCCAACGGGCAGATTAGTGCCACCAGACATAAAGCTTTCGTCATAATAGGTAGCAGGAGACCTTGCTTAGCTGGCGCGAAGTCAAGGACATTGACATCACGGCCCAAAATGCTACTAGGAATTTCGATGTGATTACGTTTGTTGGAAGTAGGTAAAACCCCCCGATACAATTTCTGGCGCTTGAATCCGAACTTGTTGCGTTATACAACGGCTACTTCGTCCGGCATTGGTCGTATTTTGCGAATGTTAGTTCATGACCTAGTGGAAACTCTTAGGCGTTGGTAAATGGGTATGGATTCTGTTTCAATGATAGATGGCTCAAGGAAAGAGGAGACAACTTGTATAGTGTCACCCGTAATACAAATGACATCCACAAGGAAGCCGAGGGTGCTGAGTGAACAGCTTTTCCGGTCAAACAGAGAAGCATGCTGAGAACGTAGAAAGTGCTCGGAAATTGTCGAATAAACCCGCCTTGTAGTTGCACTGCGAAGGAGAAGAGCGGAGCGGACAGAGAGAAGCAAACTGCCTGGCCGCCTGGCTCCTATTTCGGTCGCGAGCCATAACTACGATCAAATTATTATAGTTCGATACACCTATCCACACAAAAGACCTCGACGAATGCCGCGACTAGTTAACCACGGCCACAGTCATCGGCCCAATTCCTGTAGTCGGTGGTACATAAATCCATTCGTACAATTTCACCCTCCCGTAAGCCCGAGAATGGCCTGACAATTCTGCTGTAGAAGCGCAATTTGACGGCGCTCCGCCGGCCTGCATGAATCACGCCGCTGTCTTGACAAGAACGGCCCTAATATTTACTCTTACGGTCGGCGTGTCTGCACAACACCGGCCTGAAAGACGACCAACTCGGGGCACTTTCCAAGACCCCCGCTACTTCTTCGTCAATGTGATTTCGTTATTGTAAATCGCTGTCGGAGGTATATCAAGGAGGCTCGAGGGGGGTACGGGGGGCGGGACGGGAGAGGGGGACTGATACTAGACATTTGCTTGGACTGAGAATTGTTGACGTCTTGTTCTTGTTCTTCTTTTTGCTGGTCAAAATCATTACGACCTTATTTAAATGCACCACACTTGTTTAGAGCACTCAATTCTAAAAGTTGGTTCCTCTTCTGTCAAGTGCACTGCAAGTCAGTTGAAAGCTCTACATGTATTGTTTGTGATATAAAGTGGACCCCCGAGGTTGTCCAAGTACGCCGAACAAACTACCTAGACCGTCACTGCACGGTACTAATAATACAAGTTGCACCGATCAAGATTAAATTAGCCCACGGCAAAATTTGCTGTGTTCGGATTTACGCCCTATTTTGTAAAAGTATACCAACTTTAGGAGACCATCAAAACAGTAATCTTTTTGACAAAGTATCCCGTTAGACTAAGCACATTTGTCATTAAAATCACAAGCTAGAATTATTGTGCAAATTATGCTGGACATTTTCTGTAAGTGATTGCCGGTCTTGTTGCTGGTCCACAAGCTCTGGGCGGGGTTAATTGACGGTACACTCCCTAGCAACAGACCCGGTACCGGCATCCTCCCCGCTGCAACTACTGGGTACCACCTGCAGTAGTGTGGGTAGGTGCCACGGGAGGGGATGGGATCACAGTGGTATACCTGCTCCAGGTAACCCACCCATCTGCCACCTTTTATCTATCTTTCCTTCAACATTGACAACCAACTCTACGTTCATATCCGCATCTCCTCTGCTAACACGTACCAACATGGGCGCTGATTGTTGTGGTGGCAAAAAGCCGCTCCCGCCTGCAGAAGCGGTTCGGGACTCGTGCGAGGATTCGCCTGTCACTGAGTGCAATCAGAATATCGATTGCTGTACTCCAAACAATGAAAAGTGTAACGGTAGGGATCTCACCGGCAAATATCAATACTCACGTCTCTTACTAATTGAATCTTACGGTTCAGAGGAGTGTCTCCTATCCGTTGCCGCTACACTATGCGCTGAAGGTGTGGGTGGCCATACTGATGGTCACCATGGCTGTACGTCCACATTGCGCACTGCACAGTCACCATTTGATGCCTCGGCTGCTAATGTATCTCAGGTGGTACCACAGAATGTTCTGATAAGCTAAATAACTCTGCTTGCGATGCCCATCTCCAGATGGCTTTTGAGCAGTATCAATCTTTCTTGGACAACGTCCGATGTATCTGTCGCAATATGATTGAGCGTGGCTTCAAGTCCTGCTGCAAGCCTTCTGAGGCCGAGACCAAGGCCCAAATGCCAAATGCAGTCTCTCCGGACGTGGGCGGTTGCAAAACAAGCGGAAAAGATTGCTGCAAGCCCTCAGCTAAGCCTACAGCTGACGGGAAGGCGGGCTGTTGCTCTACCGACAGGGTCAAAGGTAAGCGCCAGTGTTGCAATAATTCTCAGGAGCCTAGGTGCTCCCAGAATGGCGAGAAACTGCCCGATGACTGTTGCAGCGGCAAGAAGCGGACAAACGATTGCTGTAATAGCAAGACGAAGTCGGAAGCTGTTGAGGTTAATCAAGGGCTTGACAGCTGCTGCGGCGCCGGACAGAAACCAAAAGAGTGTTGCAGTAACAAGAATGGAACTGATGGCCTGTGTGGCAGTAAGAAGAGGTCTAGCTGCTCTACTGATGGCAGCCCACCAGCGAGCTGCCGTGATGAGTGCTGTGGAGGTGCAGCTAAGCGTATACCGGATCCATGTTGCGCCATCGAGAAGCAGTGCCAACTCCCAAAACCGCAAGTTGATGGGAGGGACAAAGCGATAGATGTTGAGAAAGGAAGCGGCGAGGCAGTCCGTATTGGTGTTTCTGGCATGACGTGCAATGGCTGTAGCGAGAACCTGGCACGGAACCTAACGGCCAATGGCGCGCGTAACAGTAAGTAAGCACCGAAACATCTCCTTCCCGCTTTGGCCGATACCAGTAGCAGATTTTTCTGTTCTGTCTCGATATCAATGTGCATGGCTTTGCATACACCGAGGGCTCTACGTGCTCGGCTAAGGAACGGAGTTACTAACTTATACTTTAGTCCGCGTTAACTACCTACAAGGTCATGCAGATTTCACTATGGACCCTGTCCTGGACTTGGAGTCAATTCTAGCAAAGACACGAGAAGCCACTGGTTTTCAGATTGCTATCATGAGTGGCGATGAATCCATTACTGTGCTAACCTCCAGTTCGGAAGCCTCCAGAGCTCTTACCCAGATCGAATTGGATGGTGTTCAGGACGTAGTAGTTCTCAACAAGAGAACCGTCCGCATCCAATACAACCCCACAATCATAGGAGCCCGGGATCTCTTCCACAAGATCGAATACTTCCCGGTCATGCTAGCACCTCCTCAGAATGACCAACAGCTTGCTTCGGGGCGTAAGCGATTTATCACTCTCCTAGCCCAGACCGTTGCATCCTTTATCTTTACGATTCCTGTACTAGTTCTTGCCTGGGGAGAGACTCATGTCGAGGAACACGTGAAGGCGATAATCTCACTAGTCCTGGGTAGTTTGGTTCAATTCTTGGCTGTGCCTGTTTTCTACAAGCCAGCGCTTCAGTCCTTGATTCGGTATGGTATACTTGAACTCGATATGCTGGTCGTGGTTGCCATCACGGCTGCATATGTTTACTCCATCGTCGCTTTTGGGTATCTCATATCAGGCACACCTTTAGAAACAGCCGCATTTTTCGAGACAAGCTCGCTTCTCATTTCATTGATCATGCTTGGCCGTCTCGTTGCTAGTTATGCTCGCATTCGAGCCGTCGCATCAGTATCAGTCCGGTCCTTACAAGTTAGCACTGCTATTCTCGTCGAGAACGGAGTGGATCGTGATATTGATTCTCGGCTTCTGCAATTTGGCGATATTTTCAAAGTCACGCCCCATAGTCGAATTCCGACAGATGGAACTATCATATCAGGAGTCAGCGAAGTTGATGAATCTATGGTCACTGGAGAGAGCCTCCCAGTTACCAAAGGTCCTGGCGCATTTCTCATCGCTGGCACCACTAATGGCTCTGGCACGCTTGTCGTACGGTTAGCTCGACTTCCTGGCAAGAACACAATTACGGACATAGCCAAACTTGTGGAAGATGCTAGTAGCTCGCGGCCGCGGGTTCAGGAAATTGCAGACAGAGTGGCGAGCTGGTTCTTACCCACGGTGCTAACAATAGCTGTAGTGGTTTTCGTCACGTGGACGATTGTTGGTATCAAAGTGAGAAATCAAACGGGCGGCGAGGCTGTCGCTACGGCTATTACCTATGCCGTTGCCGTCCTTGCTGTTTCATGCCCGTGTGGTCTAGGTCTAGCTGTCCCTATGGTCCTCGTTATCGCCAACGGAATAGCTGCACGTGGTGGTGTCATCGTGAAATCAGCCGAG